AAAAAATTGAGGCAATCAATCGACTGAAGTTTTCAACTCGCCGTCAAAGCTGATAAACTATTCTTTTGCAAATTTCAAGGTTGCATCATAGTTACTGTCAAAACAACCTCTGTCGAACTTTCACACCCAAGCTTTTTTTTTATTTTGTTTATCTACTGTAAAAAAAAAAACCCTAAATGGGACAAATATCTTTTGTTTAATGGAAGAAAGTAATTCTAAACTAAACCTTCTAACAACCTTGAAAATATATTGCTTTGTTACATTTATTGAAGAATTGAGGTATTTTTAAATTTTACATTTTCTATCAAAAAATATTTGAAAGATAAAAAACCACAAAATTAATTTGTAAATTAATAATACTAGACATAAGATAAACGTGAAATATCAAAAAAAAAAAAGTAGATCTAAGAGACACAGTTAAGTTATCACACACAAAACAACCAAAGATAATCCACAAATGTTAAGAAAATAATATTCAAAATAGTTGTTTCAATGACAAATAAACCCAACAACATACTCAAAGCAGTTTCCCAACAAAAAAGATGATTATTTGTAGGATTTAATTTCGTTCAAATTGAGCAAGAAGAGAGAAATTGTTTTTGGAAGTGAAAATGGTGAAGAATAAAGATGTTTCTTGTTTTGGGAGAGGGTCATAGTTAATCGAGGAAGAAATGTCGGGAATCCCAATTATTAACTTTATTACTTTTTTTGATTCTTCAATTAATTAATCAATTAGATTTCTAATATCATGAATTTTAATACTCCTTCCTATTTTCATTATTTATCGTTTTGAGAAGCAACACGCTAATTAAGAATTTTTTTTTTTTTTTTATCAATATTACCCTTATTTAATGGATGTTATGGGAAAATATGAGATGAGATATGAAAAGGCATTGTGCATTGATGAAGAGTTAAAAATGGAAAAATATGAACCATAATTTATTCTCATCAGCTCTGCCACTCCACCAAGATATGAATCCCCGCAAAACGAACCACCAAAGTGCATCAATACTCTAACACGGTTGCTAGTCATTCAAATAAGTGAACAACAAAAAGAATTAAAAATAAAGAAACAGAAAAATGCAGTAGATGAATGGTGCATACGTTGAATTGTTAGAGATCACTGTTTTTTGCCTGCATGATAAATGCAGAGTCTTCATTTGTGAAAAAGCAGTCAATTAATGAGGTGCGTAACGTATGCGCAGATATGCGAACAAATTCTGAATAGTCGTAAAATTGCCAGGTCGATATGGCCCTGCGATAAAAATGGCGCATAAATCGTCAAGTAAATTATGCTTTATTCGATTTGGTTATGCGATTCTTAAATATGTGAGCGAAAAAATGTCGCATAATTGTCAATTATCCGGCAGATATATGCGAAATTATTTTGCATATTAGTAAATTATGCGATGACTTGGATATGCAATTACCAGAAAATGCGAAGTTAACAAATTATGCGAATTATATGCGAAAGATTTTCGCATAGTCATAAATTTGCAAGGTTGATATAGCCCTGCGAAAAGAAGGCGCATAATCATTGTAAATTATGTTGCATTCGATTTGGATATGCGATTCTTAAAAATGCAAAAGATGTTCGCATATTTGTAAATTATGTCTTTGATGTGGATATGCAATTACTAAATATGCGAAATGTTTTCACATAGTCATAAATTATGCGGCCGGTTGGATATGCGCTGGTTCATTTAGACATGTGAGTGTAATATCGCATAGCATTTCGTGAATTTTGGAGTGTAAAAAGAAGTTATTTGACAGGGTGGTGTGCAATAGAAAGAATAGATATATAACGGGGTGGAAAAGATTTTGACCCTTAAATTAATGTTCGCGAACACAATCGAACGTTCACGAACGAGCTCGTGTACGACCCACTTTCATTTAACGAAAATTCATGACTTTTCAGAAAAATCAATATAAATTTTCAAAACTCATTTCAAACATTTGTGGCATTACTCATATAATTTCCCAATCATGAAAATTCAGTTGTAGATCTCATGTATTATTAAGCATGATATTTAAATGAAGTTTAATTGTTATAACTATATTTTATTTCCATTTTAAAAAAAAATTAATAATATAGGATTAAAGTTAACATAAAATATATTAATATCACATATCTATGTTTATAATTCGATTCTTAATTTCGATTCTTCAGTTCGGTACGGTACGAGACGGTTCGATTCTCGATACGAATATTTGTGAAATCTCTAGAACCGTACCAATTATTTTTTCAGGTCCATTCGATTCGAAAAAAAGTCAACAGTTATTTTTCAGTTCGGTTTTCAACACGGTTCGAAATTCTCCGAGTCCCATGCTCAACCCTAGCGTGTGTTCCTCTCACTTGACTTTGGTCGGTATTGGCTAGTTAGCCGTCGAACTCTGTACATTTCTCTAGTTATTTAATTTATCCTTCCGTTTAAAAAAAATAAAAATAAAAAATATAATACGAGTGGCCTAACAAAAACCTACTCCTAAAAAGACCTAACAAAAACCATACTACAAGATTATATTATACTCCCTCCTATTTTTTTTAAATGTCATTCTAGCTTTTTCAACTATTTGCCAAATAAATATCGTTTTGAATCTTTTGTACATATTCCATTATTACCCTTATTTAGCCAATAAATACATTACGTTTTTTCATATTTACTCTTCACTTTTTCTCAAAACATTCATCTCTATCTTCATTAAATAAAGTTATTATTGACAAAAAAATATTCTTAATTAGTGTGCAACTTCTCAAAACGTCATATATAAAAAAATAGGAGGTAGTATATAGTTAAAGTTGAACACAGTGCAATAAATGAGAGAAGTTATTCCTACATGAACCCCTCTTTTCCTTCCGATACTGCACTTTTTTTTTTCAACGTCAGAAGTTCACTCCTTTTGTGGGTCTCCTTTTGAACCCACAAAAGGACCAATAATGCCTCAACAGAGTTGTGACAAAGGAAAAAATAAAATTAAAGACGGGTAAAAGAGGGGAAAGAAAGGAAATCGAATTATAACACAACAAAGTTACGTAACAAGAAACTGGATGTCAGGTTACTATTCACTGTTCTTAGTGCCATAAGCGATGAAATTTACACTGATATCATCAGAAAGGGACCATTTCCCAGTCAAGGGGTCATAAACAAACCCAGCCATCTCTTTGACCTGGTTAAAAAAGGAAGGGAAAACAACAATTTTCATATTAAAATGGAAAGAAGTGTCTGCAGTAAAAGATAACAAGCCTTTTGTGACTCACTGAAATAGAGGCACGCTCAAGAATAAGGACTAGTTCTTCTGGCGTCGAGAAGCTCGACCATTGATGTGTGCCTCTTGGAAGCTGAAAAATTTAACATGCCAAAGCAATGAGAAGATGAAGAATCTTATGGGAAATATTTTGAGACACCTCTTCAGTTAAAACTAGGATGTGTTTTTACTAGATTTCCTTAACGCACATGACATATGATTCTAGTCATCGTACTATAATCATGTAAGATATGTTCTTATAGACTAAAGTCGAGGGTATTTATCGAAACTATGTATAGAAGAGAACAAAAGAAAAAAGAAAGCACACTAGAATCTCAAGTAAGATGCATAAGTCATCAACGTAAGTTTAATAACTAAGGAATCAAGAGGAAGACGAGAAAAAAGAATCAAGTGACTAAATAAGATAAACACAAACACACACACACACAAAAAAATGAAAGAGATGAAAAGAAGATGAAAATGTAAAGCTCTGTACCCACTGAAATCACGAAATACAAATTACTTAAAATCAAATCCTGACACTCTTCTTCTAGAATCTATAATGTGTTGATACATTTTCTTGTATTCTCCTATATATGGCCAAAATCCAAGTTGACATTTTCTGGCATTTTTGACACTCAGTGGACTCTTTGAGGACTCATGCATCATATAAAAAAGAATTTGAGAAAAAGAAAAAAAGATAATGGGAGATCGATAAGTTCAATATGCTTTCTCTACTTAGGGGCTTACTTACTAAACAACACTGACATCATCAATGGCTATACAAGAAAAGTTTCGGACATAAAAGTAATAAAGCCTTCCTAGCTAAAACAGGACGGAATAAATACCCAGTGTAGCACATATTCAGCCATGAGGATGGCAGTTGCATATGCTTTCATGGATCGATTAATCGTGGAGATAACCGTAGCTCCACCAGAACTGGTCAATGCTGACAAGGATTTGCAGAAATCACAAGGATCTGCCACGTGCTCAATTACCTGGATAGCATGCGAAGTATTAGATGCTAATCAATAATTGTTACTTCTTCCCTTTCTCTCTTTGCTTTTTTTTTTTTTAAATTTCTCCTTCCTTTTCTGAGAGAGTGTGTGCACACTGTAAATGCATTAATAGTGAAATGTGTAGGCAGAGGCAGAGAAATGCTATAGTCCTAGCAGATGCATCCAATCAATCAAAAAATAAAAAAGGTAATAAGATCTATGCTTATGGAAGATTAACAAAACAGCAGATATAACACAAGTTGCCTAATGATTGATCACTCTCAAATCATATTAATAAAATTCCAATGGAATCAAATTAATATGTTACCTCCAGTGCAAGTACAGCATCAAATATCCTCTGCTCTTCCACCAATTGTTCTGCCAAAGTAACAAGCAAATTCATTAGTTTCTGCAGAATATTGTTTAGAAGTTCAAAAGGTACACATTTTTCAGTAACTATTTATTCTAGCAAAAGCCAAATGTCAGCGTATAAAAAGGCATCAGCAAATTAAAGGTCGTAACAAAAGCAAACAGATTACTACAGACACCTTCAAACAACCCAACACAAAAACTGATGTAGTCTTGTAGAAATAGTTGAATGTAATAAGTAATGAGAGATCCCATTACCGGTGATCAATAAAAGAGGTGAACCTTAGGCGAGAATGCCTCATTACCTGAGCCAGTAGGCAAATACCTAACGAACGCCAAGTACAAATTATTGCCTTTGCTTGCCTTTTCACCTTATGTAGGTGCCCTTTTCATCATTAAGATGTCAATGAGTATAGATGATTTTTTTTATCAAACTGTTGGAATTTTAGCTCACAGATGGAGAAATACACATTATGCCCCACTATATTGTCATCTCATTTTGGTTAATACCCTCAATCCGAATAAATAAAAATAAAGATCAGGTGAAAAATAGAGAAGTAGAGAAAAAAGAAATGAAGATCCAAAAGAACCATGGAGATAACATTCCACTATAAGAACTTGGCCAAATTGGTGGAACATTTGATGCTTTAGAATAGCACAGGGTAAATGAGGAGCGACAAAACAAGAAGATTCTAGCGACACTCAACTCTTACGTTACAAAGTTCATAAATATGTGAAAGCAGTTCCAAGGAAAAAGGAAATGATAAATCATTTTATGTCTTACATTCATAAAGTAAATAAGATGTTTACCAGCTGTTGTGCAGTGGTAGTCAATTGATGAAGTCATAGGATCCAAATGCTGCAAAAGATTAAATTTTCACTACATAAATAACACAAGATTTATGTTACATAAATTGATGTGTTTTAATTATAAGGCAGTTATATAGATCTCATGCCCAGACTGAAGCAGGGAGCAATATAATTGTGCATCACTTATACCAGTGCTGGTGAGAGTATTCAAGTAAAGCCTACCAGATTAGTATTCACTTCTTACCAAGAACTAATTTATTACATACATAACCATGCCAATATACAGAAGTCCAATAATTAAGAACACAATATTGGTTCATCTTCACACTCAATTACAGATCGAAAGTACAATTGCTTAACAATAGAGCCAGACCACATTTGTGCAACCCATTTCATTTCATAAACTTACAATACAGAAGTCCAATAATTAAGAACACAATATTGGTTCATCTTCACACTCAATTACAGATCGAAAGTACAATTTCTTAAAAATATAGCCTGACCACATTTGTGCAACCCATTTTATTTCATAAACTTACAATACAGAAGCTAGCATGTTTGTATGCAAATAAATCCACTCAAAGTGAGTTTTTTTGGTTAACCAAAGTTAATTTTGAAAAAAGTGGTATGGTTAGGTGTTAGTGGGATTTTGATTTTATATTAAAATAATATTTAGAATAAACTTATTAAAGTTGATTTGATTTAAAAGTAGGAGAGAGATGGTGTGAAGTGATGGTTAATTAAAATTATGTGAGAGGATGAATAGTAAATTGAAAGTGCTGTGATGTGTAAGAATGATTGGTTTGTATAATTTAATTATATTGATAATATTAAAGATAGTGGAATTTGGTTAAAGTTGAGTCAGATTTTGAGTATAAATTGAAAATGGATCGAGTTTTTTTGTATACAAACAGACCCACACTGACTGAACTTATTACATAAATGTGCATGAATGCATACATCAAGTTGTTTTCATTTCCATAAAAAAAACATACCGCATGAAGTTGTGCAATCTTGATGTTCTTTTCAACAGCATCAATTCCTGTAACAGTGGCACCCATACGAGCCAAAGGCTGAAATATGTTTAAAAATAAACATTAAAGGCTAGAAAAGAATCATTTATGCAACGATTATCCTAATTTACATCCAAATATAATTTGAGAGGTCCATAAATGCGTATACACGGACATTTATCTCATAGAGAATGTCTTCGAATTATCAGTAAAGTGAACCATGCCCAGTTTGAATATAGGTCTAGAAATAGATAAAGACTCATACCTCAGATAAAATCCCCCCTCCACAGCCAACATCTATGAATTTCAATCCTTCAAATGGCCTCGCGCAGTTTGGATCCTTTCTGAAACATGTTGCATTCATCAGCTTTTACAAGACAACCAAGAAAGAAAACGTTAGTATTGTTCTTGGACAATTGCCTTCCGTTCCCTTTGTGTTAAAAGATAAAACGGAAATCAATTCAGAAAATAACCCTAGACTCTTCACTATCTAAGACCTCGCCGATGAGCATCGCAAGGCTTCACATAAAGATGTTCATTTACATCAAATTAGTTTGCTTAAGAGAGTCCATTGGATAGCTAAGTGGAAAAACACAGGCTAAAAAACATCGATTGGATTAGCTAAGTTTTGAATGTATATTTTCTTAAGCAAATAAGATGAAAATAGGTATAGAGACTTTAATCATTTAATTTATTTTCTCAATATCAGACCTGTCTTATTTTCACTGATATACTATATTACGATACGTGTATTTTCATATTAATGTTTGCTTACTGCTTAATCCATATTTTATGTTTACTAGTTGAAGATCTCCTTCCTCACCAAAAAGATTCATAGTTACAGTGCACACATATCTTCAAGCCAATTTCTACTTTTTTGCCACAACTTATTGACAAATTAGAGATTGTAAGTTTCATTTCTTTATTGACATCCTTCGCCAATTACGAATGATTTGTCATCTTGGTTTTTAATACTGTAAAATATGAACAAAGAACAATTTCTGCGTGTCGTTGAAGTACAAAGGACTTCCATATTATTGAGGGAGTCGCAGATAGGTTGCAATATCTGCTTAAAAAAAAAAGAAAAAAAAAAAAAGCAACTCCCTACCATATGAAACCATATTGTACAAAAATTATTCTAATATACCTAAAACAAAAGAAAATATATATACACATAAGAATATCTATAAGCCTCCCCCAAAACAGCTAGAGCACCAGTTCGTCAAAAAGGCATTTTTCTCCTAGCCATTTAGTGAATATATTTTCACGATGGTTGGCCAGTGATACGAAAAGAGTTAAAAAATTTCTGACTCATTACACACCCGTATAAACTGAGTCAACCTAGATATGCTCAGTCCTCTCATGAAAATTTATATTACTTGCAATATGACTAGCCTCTTGGTTATCGAATTACATCGAGAGGATCATTGTACGCGGACCCCAATTGTTCGAGTGGATTTTTAAACCATAAGCAACAGTGTGAGCCATGGCTCTATACTCAGCCCCAACAGTTAGAAATTGTAGTTTGTTTCTTGCTACGCCACGTTACAAGATTTCCCCCCACGTAAGTACAAAAACGAAATGGTCCATCAACAAAATCAACATATGAATGCCCATTTTGTTAACTATAGTCCTTTTCCAGGAGATTTCTTCACATATCTTAGAATCCTGATCGCAGCCCAGTGAAATTGCATTGGTTTGTCCATAAAACAATAACCACTACAATCGCAAAGGAGATATCAGGCTTAAGCCTAGTCACGGTTAAGTGAATGAATGTATTTCGCCTTATGCTCAAAGGATTCTTCACCATCAGGCCAAATACTAGTGTACTAACATCCATTAAAGAGCCCACCTAATACAAGTCTCGCACCCTGACCAGCTGGAAATCGCCTTAAGCCTGCTCTCCTCGCCGGTTGAACGCGGAACCTGCACGAAACTCCCACACCGGAGGTGTTTTTCGGTGAAGAGCCTCCAACGCTCAAGTCAGATCTTGAGAGACAATATGAGTGTATGAAAAAGTATAAGAGTATGTGTGATTGTACCGAAAATGAGGATTCTCGCCCTTATTTATAAGGGCGAGTTACCTGAGCTGCACGCGCGAGCAAGGCGAGTTCGGCCAACTGT